AAAAAAAATTTCCAAGCTGCAGGGGTACAATTTTCATTCACTAATATACCATATACAACATTGACTTAATTTTTGAAAGCGGTAATAATTATTAATTATCTTGAATCATTTGATATTCCATTTTTCCTAAATATAGGTATATTCATATGTAATTGCCAATTGAAACAATTTTTAAATTAGAATAACGCTATACAGTTTCACTGGGGTTGCAACCCTAGTTTAGGTGACTCTAGATGATAGGGTAATGAAATATGAAAATAAATGAATTATTTAATTCCACATATCATCTAATGCCACATTAACGACACCTAAGTTGTAGTTATAATATCAGTGAGACTAAATAGTATTATTTTTTAAATAAGGGTAAATAATAAATACAACACATTAATGAATCCTTTCAATTTTTTACTTTTATCTTTTTATTACTTAAAACAAATGAGGGTATATTAGGCACATAGGTAAATAGGTAAAATTAAAATTGGTTTTCAAAAATTTCTCCTCAATTATCTATTTTAATAAATTGTAGATGGTAGATAGATATATAATATTATCAAACATATATCTAAGATAATAAATTTACCATAGTTATTCTAAAAGGAAAAAGTTAATATTTATATTTCAAATTTATGAAATTATAATACAAATTTGACATGTCAATGGCCAAGAAGAAAAGGAAAAACAAAGAATGTTTTCAATATAATAGAACAAAACATAATAGCTACCAGTTTTATTCACGGGAGCTTGGAAGATAATCCGAGAGGCAAAGCGTAGAATATGAGAAGTTATCATTTTGTTGCTTCTAAAAATATGCTACCGAAAAATACAAATTCTGGTATAATAATTTATTTTATTATTATTATTATTTTTTTACTAAACATAAGAAATAGTTGTGGTTACTTAACAATTAAAAATCAGGGCTCTAAAAGGGGGGTCACAAATGGAGCTCTAATCATTTCGTGGCTGCAAAATTTTGAAATTAAATATGAGTATTCTATGTAGGAATTGGAATTATCATCCGTTTTAAACGTGATTTATTTTCAAATTGTACAATTATGATTAGGCGACATATTTACCTAAAAACTTAAGACAAGTTAGATTGCTATTAATTTTTAACATTTAGGTAGAATTGTTACTATATAGTAATATCAAGATTAGTAGCAAGGACTCAGGAGATGACATTGTAAGCAAATTGAAGTTCAGCAATATGACAATTATGAATTAAAGTTGGGTGACCATTTGAGATTTTACTGAAAGTTTCGAGACAAAAAATGAAATTAACCTAAGAACCAAATGATAAAATTGAACTATTTTATCTCAAAAGCAACATATCATTTACTAAATTAGGGTCTCTAGAAATTCTTAGACTCCTTGCTGTCGAAGCTCTACCAAATTTAACTTTTGGTGAGCAAAGTTTGAAGGAGTATCGACCCCTATGTGGGAGGAGGATTGAATTATTTGTGGTTTGATTTGGACAAGAATCTTAAAAGTGTGCCACGACGTGAGGTGAGCTAGGCACAACATCCGAGTTGTGCAAGCAAAGTTTTTGCCTTTTTAACTCGTGTGGGAGAAACCCACGCGAGCCACATATTTCCAAAGATGTTCATTATAGAAAATGTGGTTTTAGAGATTGAATTTTTTGTTGCTGACGACTTGAATTCTGTAGGTAACAACTTTTAGAGACGTGAATTTTTTCATCAATAAATCAAACGATGAGACCTTCGCTACTAATTTATTGACGGATTTCTTTTGCTGTCGATAAATTAACGAGAAAAGAAAATTGTTGGTGTTACCAATGACTATATTTTTAGTTAATTAACAATGGTGCTGGCACCGACTTTATCCTTCGTAAATTACCAACGAATCGAGTAGTCACTAATCAACAACAAATTTGCGTTGCTATTTTCGTTACTAATTTGAATTACAATTTTTAAAAATATATACAATTATTATATTATTAATTTATTTCTTGGAAACTTAATATATTTAAGTTTATATTCAAAAAATAAAAATAAAAATTACAGGAATAGTTAGTCCAACTATTGAGGTTTCAAACGAACAAATAAATGACCTGCACATAAATTTTTTAAAAAATAAAAAATAAAAAAATTCACCAATAAATTTCATAAAATTTAAGTTATAGCAAGAGAACTAAAGAAAGTCACGATAACAATAGAATACCATAGACAAGAACAAGATTGTGCTTATGAGGTAAAAAAGAAAAGAAAACATTTCTAAATATGAGATATACCTATTAAGAGTTGGGTGATTTATGGGGACGCAATTTCACGTAAGTAATTGGACTAATGTCATGCTTTCCATAATGGAGTGAAACATTGCTCGATCTTTTACATGAGTGATATTTCGTGTACATAACGGTGTACACACGAGTTTACACATCTTCATATGAAAAAGAGCCAACATACAATAACTTATGCGTAGGCCCCGTTCCACGTAGCATTATCCCCTTTTACATTGACGTTGATAAGAGAATGATCAAAAGTGTAAGTGCTTCAAACGTTGGCGCCACAGTTGATTGAATTCAGCTCTTCATTCATTCAATTCGAATTCTTTTACTACTTTTTTTTTTTCATTTCACAATTTTGTTAATTATTTCTAAATTATTTGTTCCAATTCTCAAAGTTTGGTCCAATTCAAAAAATTTCAGATCAATCACTCAGTGCCGTGGTTAATTAATTATTTCTTTTTTCACTGATTTAGAGCTCGTTTGTTCCACATTTTTTCAACAAAAATACATTTTAAACATCACATCATGGGTCCTATCTTAGAGTGTTGAAGTCAAAAATTGTAGGCTGATTTGACGGAAAAAATGTATTATTTTACAAAATAATGTGCACCAAACGAGGGCTTAAAAGCAAGAAACGAAAATTATTTACTTTTTGGTTATCAAATAATTATTTTTGGACTATAATACATTCATTCTCCCAATTCCATGTTCTCTCATAGTGTTTGATATTTTTATACAACTTCTAGTATTTTTTCCCAAGTTTTACTCAATTTAGTGTGATAAATACGAAGTATATTATAAACGATGATGCTACATATACATTAAGGTGTTTATAACGGTGTCCACTCTCTTCACATGGAAGAGGACCAACTTTGAATATAATATAATTTATTTGAAGGGTAGTCACCGTTATAAACATCGCATTATGTACGAGTAGAATATTCCTAAATTCAATCAGGAATAAACAAGTCGTGGACACAACCATGACCTCGAATAATGGTATCCTCTACTTGGCAATATAGATACCTTAGATTCCTCATATTATTCTAATGGTATTCTCACGTAAGGTCATTCTCTTTTCAATCACATAATCATACAACATGGAAATTAAATATATACAGCAAAATTGTTGCCACCAAACTATCGGTGACTGCTGGTGAAAAATATTCAAACAAATAGAATGGCAATATGCAGTCAACAAATTGTTGAAGATTTAGAGGACTTTTTCTACCTTAATTAATAAATGCAGATCAATGTCCATGTATCAAAATTCAAAACACAAATAATTTATTTATTGTTCAAAACTTAAACCATTCTGCAAAATTTATACAGAAATGCACATGTATAAATTCCAATACATGATAATTACATGCATGTAAATCAATTTCCTAACAAAAAATTTCCAATCGAACTCCGTCTTAAGATTGTTGGATAAATTAGTGCATGAATTATAATCCATCCGTTAAAAAACATGTGCATACAAATATTAGAGTAACAACTTACCGAATCAAAGGACACGCATAATAATGAGCAAATCACTACTCACTCAAATGTAAAAAATGTAGAAATCGAAGGAGATTAAATAAAGCGAGGTATGGGAATGTAAATCTCCCTAAAACAAATTTCATCCCTTCACTAGTGCTAACAGAATCAAATGGACGTCTTTCTCCAAAAATACAATGCTTCTTCCAAAATTAATATAGCACAATATTAAGTTTGTCGAGCAGACCAATATTGGACCTTACTCTTCTAAAATGGAAGGTATCGAATACTATGTATCAAATATGAAAATTAAAAATAATTTGGAAATTATTTTAACGTAGTATAGAGAAAGAAAAGATGAGAAATCAATTATTAGGAATTGATTTGGAGTGAAGAAAAGGAATTATTAGGGTCGTATTTATAGACTTCCATATGTCACTTACTAAGTTGCATCTTTTGGCAAAATTAATTTTAACCATTAGGTCGCACCATTTCATAATTGATGGTCTAGATTGCACCTTAATTAAAGCTCACGACTTTTTGTTACGCACCTTTTGCATTTGAAGAGTCGCACCCAATCGTTACACCCATTGGACACTTTTTTCAATTCACACATCTTAATCTTTTTATGTACCCTAAAATTCCAACAATAAGGCATGTGATCTCGTAAAAGTAGATTGGTTCGTGTTTGTGCTAAAGAGGATTGAAATTTCATATGGGTATGATGTACTTTTATCTTCAACGAGTACTCTTGTCTAGTGTTCAATGCAGAGGCATGATGTACTTTTATCTTCAACGAGTACTCTTGTCTAGTGTTCAATGCAGACCGAAGCATTTGGTTGCCCAACTGGTTAATTGTTACTAGCGATTAAAATAAGAGTGGTTATATTAGCACCACACAAACATTTGAATTACAGTTAAGTCCTTGATCTTTATTCATTCTAGCAATTAACTTTTTTCTATCGAATTCTTATATTCAACCTTTTCATTAATTAGTATGTATTGTGTTTGATAATAATTTATATCAAAATATAGTATTTCAATGCTTTGAAATGAGGGAAAATTATTTATTTATTTTTTAAAAATATGATGGAAAAATAAATTGTTTTACGCCATTTCAATGAACTTATGAACATAAAATTATTATTAAATACAAAATGTGTTGGCTAATGAAAGGTTTGAGGATAAGAATGATATGAAAAACCACTACGGACATAAGTATTATAATTAGCAAAGATTAAGAATCTTAAGTACACTTAAAATAGTGCAAAAAATAAAAATTGTGATGCAAATATAATTACCCATCAAATAACTCGTGATCTATTTTTTTACCAAACATAGCCCTCGAATTTCATCTTGAAAGAGGTCGAAGAAATGGCATCGTACCAAAGGAAATTTGAAACAATTCGTGGTGACAGACTGGTGATCGTCTTGTGCCTGACCTGCCTAACTAGGCAAAAACCGATGGTAATTGCTTTCCCTACTTTTGCTCGGGATCGACGACAGATATAAATGTATGTACAAATAGTTTTGTGTGGGCGAACAACGTCAGCCGATACAACTTACAATGCTTTAGTCTAGAATTATTGTTATACTAAGGTGGATTGGACACTAATTCGTCTTGTGCCTGACCTGCCTAACTAGGCAAAAACCGATGGTAATTGCTTTCCCTACTTTTGCTCGGGATCGACGACAGATATAAATGTATGTACAAATAGTTTTGTGTGGGCGAACAACGTCAGCCGATACAACTTACAATGCTTTAGTCTAGAATTATTGTTATACTAAGGTGGATTGGACACTAATAAATAGTATTGGAGGAGAAAAAAGAAATCAAAATCCTGTGCACTTCAGTGTCCGATCCAGTTCAATCAACGCCATACAAGTTGACTTCACCACTAACCAATCAAATTGATGACATATCAATAATTTATTGGAAGGACAACAAAATCGAACAGCATATCTTATCTCCAAACGACATGACCTCTAGCAACATCCACGTAGAGTATTTTCCCAACATCAAACAAAGGCACACAAACTATCCGTTTAGCTTGTTTTTTCAAACAGAGGCAAACACGAAATATGCATCTAGCTTGTAGAAAGAAAACGAGCATCCCTCATGCTGTGAACTCGAGAAATCCATGATTACAATGGGTAAGAATACCCACGGAGGTACCTTGAATCAACACCTGACTCTCGCACCAGTGCCACTCTTCCAGTTCGAGCCACCTGCACAAAGAGAAATTGTTCAAGTTGCTGCAAATAAAGTTCATTTCGGCAAGGTTAAACGGAGAAACTTGTTAGCGTTGCAGTAAAATTACACCCGTCAACATTTTTTATTAAATTGGAAAAGAAATGAAGTAATAACAAGAAAGAGGTAAAAGAAAAAACAACAAAATGCTCTAACTACAAATGTATCTCGAAGTAAAGTCAAAAACAAAACATTTCAACTAAACATCATCCTAAACCCGAAAATTCAAATTGAAAATACCAAATTAGGGAAAGAAGATTGAAGAAAAAAATGGTCCTTGAAGATAGACGTTATTCTAACTAAAGGAAAATCTTAAACAGAGATGGGAATTTCTTATCAATATCACAGGCAAATAATGAAGAAGTTGATTTTTAGGACCAAAGACCATTTAAATGCCATTCAACAGGTCAGTATAATCCAGTGCAAGTACAAAAACCTACTAAAACAAGGATCATAACCAGTTTTCATTCATAACCAAAGATCAAATATCATACGCGTACCTCACAAATGCCGTAAGGTTCTAGCAATCTTTGCAAAGCAATCATCTTGTCCAGATCCCCAGTAAGCTGGAGAAAGTACAAAAGGGAAATTCAACAACAGGAAAAAAAAAAGGGAGGAACAAGGACATAGATAGGAATTATTTTTTTTATCTTGTTGTCAGTCAATAATTAAAAGTTTCAGCTATAATCAAAATAACAATAATTTGATTCAGTAAAAAGTTTTAATATAAATTTGTCTTCCCTTGTTAGCTGAATGATAGAAACATAATTAAGCTTAGGTTGATCTCCTCCAGATGCAAATTTATGTCAAGATTACCCTACCTTTGGAGTTAATGTCCCTGTATCAGAAGTCCAGACATAACTGAACTATGAAGATAACAAAATATTTTAGTTGTAACCATCCTAATCAAGAAAATATAGAGGCTTCCATAAGTATATATACACAATGTTTTTAAAAGAAGTTGTTTAAGTTACATGATTAAAATAAAACACGTTAAGGCTTTCTGAGTCATTCTATATACTATGCTTTTTAATGATTAACTCACACATACTAGATCTGAATTACATCATTCAGTAAGCTATCTGCTATGACAATTAGTAAAGCATAAGGCCTTTTTTAGCTAAGTGGAGTTAATATTTTTCTTTTTTGCCAAGTTACTAACAATACAAAAGTCAGTTCTAATATTATTCAAGATGGACAAACTATAACTTTGTGAAAAGACAAAACGAGTAATATATTCAAGGCTTTGCTCAAGAGTTTACTCCACTGCTTCAAAGTGAATAATGTATATATTTCGTTCAAAATCTCTCTTTATTGAAATATTTATGATGCCATTCAATGTTTTTTAACTATTCCTCATCCTATGGATAATGACACGTGATCTGTTATAAGTATTAAAGTTGACATAAATACTCTTTTAAAAGATATTTCAGGTGTAGAAAACGGTCAGTTCAGGAAAACAAGCATAACAAAGAAAAGGAATTGTTTTTAATTTCGACAATCTAATGATTATCTTTATGAATTATAAGATAGAAACCTGTTCATTAAATTTTATTGACTTACGTAAATATAATTATATTCAAAGAGAGGCAAATAAGTTGGACTAAAAGACTAAGATAAGGTCGTATTTTGGAATTAATAACCCTTTTTTCTGCTTTTGTGGTTTTCTAAAGCCTATACCACAAATACATCTGAAGTTAACTAATAGTATTTGGACCTTTTACCAATTTAAAATTGTCACAATCATATTGTATCTATAAATTGATAGGAATAATATTTAGCACCTGTTTGCCATCCTTTAAAAGGAGTTCTTTTTGGGGGAAATGAGTTTTGGAATGGAGATTTTTGGGAGAATGTGTGGTTAAAAAGCAGGAAAAAGTTTTGGGTTTACGTGCAAAATATTTTATTGTGTAAATGTGTAGTTGAAAATGAATTTAAGAAAAAAAGTTTTGATTTAATGGATCAAACAGGGTCGTGATCTTTTTCATCAAGAATCAATGGAAAGTTCTTATTACTTTCTCTAGCCAGACAAAAAAGAGTGAAACATGTAGCTATTAAATTGCAAACTTCGAAAATTTTAAAGAACAGAGAATGAAAGAAAGAGTAACAAGACAAAAAGAACGTTATTTTAAAGTTTATCCTACCAGGATACCAGATTTTCATCTTCAAGTCAAACCAACATGTAAAAAACTATTCATAAAAGGATTCAAGAATAAAGAGGAAAAGTCTGAGAATAAATGGACAAGGATCAATAAGGCCTCAGACACTTTTATATAGTACCAAACTAAGGAAATGTATGAAGGGAAATTTGGTATAAGCCATACATGTGTAAACAATTCACTCATGACAATGGCAAAAAACAGCCAATTAAACTTGGAAAAAAAAAAGGAAAAAAAAAATGAAGAAGGACCAACCTCAAGAGTTATGGTGTGATCAGAGACATCAACAGCTTTGGCTCTAAAAATACTGGCAATATCAAGAACGTTGCGCCGAGCAGTAGCATTCACAGCAATTTTTATCAACATCAATTCCCGCTCAGCGAAAGGCAAATGCGTAAGATCCTGAACCTGAAAATGACAAAGCTAACAAGTTGAGCAGCTGTTCGAAGCACATTGATTTCAAGAAAACCAGAAAAAAACCGTGCTGGCTAAGAAATCTTCATGTTCGGTCAAACAGGTCGGTCAGAACTCGAAGTATAGTAACTCCTTTATCGAATGAAACGAGGACTATCACACGAGGCAAAGGCTAGGCGCTGGGAAAAAACTAAAAGCAGTATGGTCCAGGCACTAAGAAAAGACGAAGTATGAGCATAAAGACCCATTATTTAATGGGTAAGACCTAGGAATGCGTAACACAAACAGGATACTTCAGCAAGCAAATCTGGTTGTAACAAGAAAAAGCAAGCCAGAATTTTTATTTCACACTAAAATCATCAACCATTTATCCAACTACAGTGACAAATTCTATTTATAGAAGTTTTAAAAGATATTTCTGCGATTTAGAAGGAAAAGTAATGCTTAAATAACATACGTGCAATACTGGATGTGAATCGTGCCATATTCCTATTCAAAGGTTAAATAATGAAATGCTCTCACCTCATGAAGATCCACCAGTTTATTAAGTTGTTGCACCAACTTGCTAATTGATTCATCTGTACCAGGAACAACAGTAGTAATGCGAGAAATCCCCTCAACTTCAGCATGACCAACGGCTAAACTCTAATGATAAGAAATGAAGATAAAAATGCACCAATTTCAGGAATAGATTTATTTCACACTTTCTGCAAGGAATAAAATGACAGTGCATACCTGAATATTGTATCCTCTTCGAGAAAAAACCCCTGTGATAAGATTAAGAACTCCAGGAACATCATTAACAAGCATTGAGAGAGTGTGAGAACGAAGACCACTTGTCTGCAAGCATCAAATTCAAGAACTGAAGTAAGAACCAATCAGGGTCAAGATATCCAAAAATATCACCACTGCAAAACTCGCAGTATATAAACATAATAGTAAAATTTCATAATTACATATGTATAATCAGCATATCATAAGCCCCCAACGTGTTAAGGGCACTTGTGTATTAAAATATAAAAGATACTAATATGAGACTAACGTGAACAACAGAAAGAAATGACAATTCCTTACATCATCATCATTCAGAACACCCCAATGAGCATCAAGAACTTGATTGAATGAAATGTCATCAGCTGTTTCCACAGGATAAACATCTCCCTTCATACAACATAAATGCATTAGCATTCAGCTAATATTGAGCGTCACAAAACATACAACACTCCCCAATTCACCTTTGTTAAATATAGTAAACACAGAGGGAACGCATGGATGCGCCCCCGAGTTGGGGGGGAGGGGGTCGAGTTATCAAGAAGCTGGGGGAAAAACAGAGGCTACTCATACCAAAGAAAAGGAGTATAGTAAACCCGCAGTCTTCTATATAGTGCATTATCACCTATAGATTCCCATCGGAGGGACTTGTATCTTTCCTTTACTGGCATAGTTTGCTATACGTATATTAATATAGCATGACTAGTGAGAGTAACTACCATAAAAGCATTGACAATCAATAATACACAAATCAAAGCTGTAGCTTGCTAAGTTATGATTTTGAAAAAATTCATTAGAGAACCAAAAAAAAAATCATTTAAACATTTAAAAACTTGAGAATTTCTGCTTAATTTAGGTTCCTGTCCCATGGTTGTGACAGAAAGAATAACACAATCTCAAAGCCTTTCATATCACCAAATCATACTATGGATGTTACATTGATAGGATATATATACTTTGAAATTCTAAAACAAGTCCAAAAATAATAATACTAACGATTTTGGTCCAAATTAAAATTTTCCAAAGGTTTAACAAATCGAATGTACATTTTCAACAAGCTACTTCGTTGTACTGATATCTGTGCAGATGAAGTGGCTATGGACAACTTTTCAGAAATTTAAGTTACGTGGACAGTGGACCCACACATAATTTAACATCATGTACAAATGATACAAGTAATACAAACCAACTTTTCTTCCTTTAGAAACCACATACGAATATGACTTAGTATTGAAGTCCTTGTGTGTTAGTTCAGGGTTTCTGTGTCGAAGTCCTTAAAATTCAATCTAACCAGGAGTATTTTGCTCATGTACTAGGAGTTAAGGTGGTAAGGTCCTTGCAACCAGTTGAGTTTCTTGATCCTATATATTCGGTGCTCAGCAATTATATCCCTATGTTGGACATCATACTCCAGCTGGAGAAAGAACCAGTCTATAATAGATGTGATAAGCATGACATAGTAAAAACAAAGGAAAAGTTTTGTGATACTTCATGCCAGGTTTAACAAACCAGCTCACCCCATTAGACGTATTGGATACTACATCAGGTGTTCGTTTTGCAGAACTTGGAACTGTATCAAGTGGCCTAGTTTCTTCAAGATCCGGATATGAAGCTGCCGAGAACCGCCAAAAAGGAGCAGATTCCCCCATCTTTTCCCTTCTCAAGGCAATCTATATTGAACCAACAAAAAATCCAACTTAAATGGATAGGAAAAGAAAGGAGAAAAATACTATCAACATTCTCTCAGATACCTACTTTTCCAGTCCTGGCAATCTCCCTGATTCCAAATTTACTTAAATTCCTTTGTACTGCAACCATCTTCCCAGGATCTCCTGTTACCTACACAAACAATATAAGATGAAAAAAATGAAAATTAATTTATAATAATATCTCCGTCCCCAGAAATGCAACAAATTATACTTTATCAGATGCACCCAAAAGGAACATTTGTGTGAGGCAGAATATACAGCAGAAACAAATTTAGAGCCCAATATTTAAAGCCAAATTATCTTTCTAATTGTGCACCAGAAAAAAAACGTAGTAGTCATTTTTTGCCAGTTTAGGCATCAAAAAATTGAAAAGAATAAGAAGAAAGAAAAGATCAATTCACAATAAATCGGAACAATCAGCTCAACCAGTGGATTTACTACTATGTGACCAATATAGACAGACATAGCCACTAAAACCATATGACTTCAGTTTGAAGAGTGGGTGAACAGACCATTTTGGGTTGATAAAGTAACAAATTTGTCTCAAAAAGATTTTAGTGCTTCAAGCAAGTATTGGAACTTGGAGGGCAAATCTTTAATGTGCTATGACCATCGCCTTTGATGATGATATTGTCTTTTGTAGATAAGACTCAATAAGGCTAGAAAGCCGATTTTAAATCGAAGTTGTACAGAAAGCGAACTTTAATGATAAGAATCAATATTGCAGAGAATAAGACTAGTTACAGAGAAGTGTAATTTTAACGTACCAAAGACGAAAAGATAATTCATTTATCTAAAGTAGAGGCTAAGTTTTTTCAATTGATTTGACTATTATCATACAGCATCCAGCCCGTAATTACGTCATATAAATCAATAGGGTGAAATAAGTTAGAGTTATACAGGAGAGAATGAACTAATGAAATATATTTTGTAGCAGATACTACTAGGCAGTTCAAAAAATTAAATCCCCACTTCAGATGGAACATGAACAGATCTACATGGAGAGTGCACCTTAGAATGGCCAAAGTAAAAAATATACAGGCATTAGCCTGTATAACAAAAAAAGATGTCTCGAAAGATTACAACTCCTGGGTTATTACTTATTACTCAAAATCAATCTACACTTGTAGTATTAGCACATTATGCAAATTAAATGCAACAAGTAGAACTAGGCATCACCTCAATTGTTAACGAGTGATCAGAGATGTCCACAATTTTTGCCCTAAAAATGTCTACCAACCACATGACCTGGAGAATACATTCAAAAGGATAAAATATGTTACCACGACAAAAGAGAAGATGAAATGTCTAAGTGAAACTGTAGGGACATCATGAACCTTCCACATACATTAATTTCCTTAAATTGATGTTAGACAGCAAGCAATACATATGACAGAAAAGTACAAGTAAAGTTGATGGTAATGAACCCAGCATGAATACCTCAGCTCGATTCTTTGGATCAGCATTGATTTTTATGAGCATTAATTCCCGTTCTACTTGTGGCTCCCTGGAGAGGTCTTCAACCTGGAAGATAGGTCCACACATTAGAAATCAAATTACAATTGAAGCAATCATCCCAACCAATCAATTAAATGAAAATTAGAATTTATTTCACACTAAATACGACTAAGAAAATCAGAACAGAAGTTATAAGGAGTCATGTTTTATACCGGAATTTCAAAAACATTGGCTAGGTTGGAGAAATGAGAGTAGTAACAATAAAATCTCTAATAGCAATAAAAACCAAGGTTTATTGCTTTCTGACAAGTAACTCTACATTAGAAGTGATAGTGTAGTTGTAAGAAACTCATTTTATAAGTGACATTAAGATAGAAGATCAAAAATAAGGTTATAACCTTTAGTACATTCACAAGTTTCTGGAGCTGTTCCATAACTTGTTGCAGCACTCTTTCAGTTCCAGACACAACTATTGTAAAAAGAGCCTTGTCCTTGTTCAATCCAACTGCAAGGGACTCAATGTTATATCCTCTTCTTGCAAAAACTCCAGCAATGCGGTTTATCATTCCACTTTCATCACCAACAAATACTGAAATTGTGTGGCGCTTCACCCTGAATTTACATGACAACCATACTATTATTTAACGACTTTAATCCTTTATTTGCCTATTGAAATGCAAGATCATAACTATTTGGTTCAGTATTTCGTTTTGGAGTCAGTTCCTTTTCTAATGATTATGCATGTGTTTTCTCTAAAGTAATTATGTCACGCATCCACTCTCTATCTATTTCAGATAGGAATGACCTTTCAAATCAACTAAACCTTTTTATCAAGAGTAATTTTGTATTAATGTCAAGTTTCAGAAGCTAAAACTACGGAAGCAATAAGAACACATATAATTACTGCAATCGTGAAACTTCATAACTCGAAAGGAAAGTTGAAAATCACATTACTAGAGAGACTAATCATTTTAGGTTCTCAAATAGTTAAAATGGGATATTTAGTTATAAATGAAGGGGCTGTCTTATTTTTCCTTTAGTATTCCCCTCCTGTCTCAAAATGTCATTTTTTTTAATCAGATTTTGCCTTCTTAGATATTGATTCACCATACAACATGCATGTTTAAACTCAAACTCTACTTTTCAAACATTTCTTTCACTGGGGTCAGACAAATATGCTATGATTGACCAAAAAAATCCAAAAGACTATTTTTTTATTTCTCTTTTTATCTTAGTTATAGCAATATTGGCATGTACTATGAATAATGGCCTGAATGTATAGTTCACAACAATGACTCAAAAGTATGAATATGCACGTCTACACATACGTCAGGCAATCTTTGATCGTTAAAATAGCAAAAGAAAACATAAGCATGATGCCATGAACATAAAACTGTACCGGAGTTAGGTTCTTCACCAATTAAAGAAAATTAACAATAGAACTTATGTAAATGCCAAAGAGAAAAGAAAGAAATAAGTTAAGGGATCATTTTAGTTCAATTACATACTTGAATATCAATTTTAAAAATTACGGATCATAAATTTATATTTGAGTTAAATTTTTTCGTTCTGCTGAAGATTAAATCCAAAGAGAACAAATCATTTGGATAATTTCTGCGTAAAGATCAACTTGCCCATTAATCACCATGTTAATTTAAAAACGCTTATCAGCCTCAAAATTAGTCATTAATTTGCCAGTAGAGAAACCCTACTATGATGTGATCGAGATATACATATCTTAACCATATCTATGAACCAACCAACAAACCAAGAGGGAAAAAAGAGCCTTTCAATTTGGCATTTCCTCGTCAAAATTGCTAATACCACAACCTCTCAAGAAAAAAATTCTTACGTACTTAGGCCTAGTGGAGGAGGTGGAAATGGCGCCCGGAGAATCTGAAATGGAAACAGTGCTATTCTTAGGCTGATTGTTGTTATCTCCATTGGCGGTTTGACCATAAACAGAAAATCTTCCATTAGGCTTTGAGAATAGAATTGAAATTCTTGAGCTGCAGAGACTGTTGTTGCTGCGGCTTTTGTGAACGTAGCTATGGGATTCTGCGTAGGTATGGAGTAGTGCACAGTGCGTAGAAAGAACCGCCATGAGAGGACTGCGAGAGAGCGTGCAGTTGGCTAAAACGGTGGGTCGTGGACCATACCCGGTTAGCGTGTATATGGGTACAGATAATCCGGGTCAGCGCCGGGTCGGCGTATATGGAGAATTGAAGGGTGGGAAAATATTTATTGATCCCGGAATTGGATAAATACTGGTGTAAGATGTAATTACTGAAAAATGCATTTGATACCTAATAAAATTGTAAAATACGGTAGAATTTAATTCTATCCATATTTAAGTATAAGGAATCATATTGAAAATGATTTCTTGTTCGAAATTTTTTGGATGACGAGAGGTTGTAATGCATAGGTTTCAAGAGAAGTGCAGGATTTTTTATCGAAATTTTTATTCGATCGTTATCTTCTATAATTTTTTTAAATAAAAATTAGGCAAAAAATGGTTCAATTCCATAGTTTCAGATCGAAAATCCGTAGTTTCTTTCTTTTGGAGACAAGGGAAAATTCTGACAATTTTTTGGCATGTTATATTATTAGCACGATCATTACCATATTTGCAGGGATTTGATTTCAGCGTATATGATTGATTTTATATAAAATGCACACGCAAAAAATGGGGTGGTGAACATTTACATCTCAACCTGCGAGGATTCAAGCGAGGATACCGAGTATAATTCCATAGCTGGGACAGTATTGTCATCTCGATTTATCTCTACATTGTTGGCATCTCTCTCACTATATAGACGAGAGCTCTTCTTATATTTGCCGTCTTTCTTTTATTATTACTAGTTTTTGACAAGTGCGTTGCACGAGTTTTGTATTTAATGTATTTTTATTAACTTCAAAATTGTAGATTTTTCAAAACTGGTTGAAGATACGAAATATTTGGTAAAATCTAATCGTTTGGTTCATTACATTATTGCAAGATACATGGATATTTCTTTTTCGTTTTTTATTTTTTTCCTCATTTATTTATTTTTTATTTGTTTTGTTCATATTGTAAATATTTTTTTAGATTTAAAATCCTTTTTAATTCTTTTTTCTTTATGAAAAACTTATTTTTTCAATTTTAATTAAATAATATTTATACGTTCTTTATATAATTTTCGTAACATTCTTTTGTTTAATTTGTTTCGTTTTTATTATATATTTTTTGAAGGTTGTTAAAAAAAAAACTTCATATTATAAATAATTTTTGTTTGATTTAAAATTCTTTTCGTTCTATGATTCAAATTCTTTTTCTTCATGTTATAAAAAAACTAAATGATTTAACAAATTAAAGATATTAGCGCCTAAATTGTAGATTTTTCAAAATTGGCTGAAGTTTGAAGTATTTGGTGAACTCCAATCTTTTGGTTCATTGGATTATCGCAGGATAAATGGAGATTTCTTTTTCGTTTTTTATTTTTCCTCATTTATTGATTTTTTATTTCTTTTGTTCATATTATAAATATATTTTTGATTTAAAATCCTACTTAATTCTTTTTTTCTTTATGAAAAAACTTATTTTTTTAATTTTAATTAAATAATATTTATATGTTCTTTATTTAATTTTCACAATATTCTTTTGTTTAATTTGTTTTGTTTTTATTATATATTTTTTGAAATTTTTTTTAAAAAAAATTCTTCATATTATAAATAATTTTTTTTCAATTTTAATTTCTTTTTGTTCTATGATTAAAATTCTTTTTTTTCATATTATAAAAAAAAACTAAATGATTTAACAAATTAAAGAAGAAGAAAAATTATAGGCAAAAAAAAAAAGTTATTATAAAGTTTTTTACTTAAATTAAAATAATTAAAAATAAATTTTATTTAGTTAAAATTTAAAAAATGATAAAATGAAAAGAATTTTGAATCGAAAAATAAATTATTTATAATACGAAGTAATTTCTTTAAAAAATATAATAAAAATAAAACAAATTAAAAAAAAGTTACTAGAATTAAATAAAGAATATATACCTATTATTTAATTAAAATTAAAAAAATTTAATTTTTATCATAAAAAATAATTAAACAGAATTTACTCTCCTTTCAAATAAGAGAATTCAAACTCTCGAAAAGAGAGATTCTCTTTGTATCTCTCCGTGGATGGAGGAGAAAAAAGTTTTCCTTATTTATTTTTTAAAATTTTTTTCATATTATAAACATTTTTTTTCGATTTAAAACTGTTTTTAATTCTTTTTCTTTATGATTAAACTTAATTTTTCACTTTTAATTAAATAATATTTATATATTCTTTATTTAATTTCTGTAACTTTGTTTTCTTATATATTTTTTGAAAATTTTTTCTTCATATTATAAGCGAATAATTTTTTATTCGATTTAAAATTCTTTTCGTTTTATGATACAACGTAATTTGTTCAATTTTAGTTAAATAATATTTATTTTTAATTATAATTATTTCAATTTAACTAAAAAAAATTTATAATAACCTTTTTTCGTTTTGTCTAATTTTTTTCTAGAATTTTTTTTCTTTAATTTGTTAAATCATTTTATTTCCTTAATTCTTAAAAGTCTTAGAATACTAGAACCTCAAATTAAAAATAATCTATAGCTAAAACGAATTATTCCAAAAGACAAAAATGACTCACTTATTAAGAGGCAGAGTATGAAGAAAGGGTAGAGTGGAGGGCCACTCCACTGGCATTGTAATTGTAATATTTTCACATAACTCACTTATAATCACACTCTAAAAAACAACAAAAATCATGCACCAGTACCATAGAGGATGTATTAAATATACAAAAAAATGAGGAGCTTACGTGTCGAGAAGTAAAGAGACAGCAAATATACAAATATCTCACCGGACGGTTCTAGTCTTAATTTCTTGGAACGAATCTTGCAAGAAAGGGTTAGGGCCGTAGCCCCCAATGGGGTTTCTTTTTAGCTGTCACTCACAATAAGACTTTATCAACTGAATGTGTTTTCCAAGCTTTCTTCTATTCCCAAGATAAACACTTTTCATTCTTATTGAACAATGATCATTTTCCATAACTGTTTCATTTGTAGTCCTTCCCATCACATGAATATATAACTGAAGAATGAAAATTTGCTAAAATATTTTATATTTAGTGAGATATATCATATACCACCTAACATTCGAAATAAGAAACCTCTCTTTTAGCTACAAATTTTTTACAATGGTACAGAAATTCATTGTAATGAAACCGATCTCAAAATTTTCAAACATGCTTATAATATGAGTAATCCTTTCAATCACCTACACCTTAACTATTAGTTCAACTACAAATCTGTCAACACCAAATATTTCCTTAACTACAATAAAACATTATACACATAATCACCTAAAATACAATTATTCAAGTATAAAAATAAAAAAAAAATAATAATAATAATAATAAGCTAAAATTATGAATAATGTACAGTAAAAACGAATTATTTGTAAAAGAAAAATCACCCTCAAACAAAGCAAAAATGAAATCAACACACCTGAAGTCGATAATCTTCAATTTGTACGTTAATCCGTTTTTTTTTCCTACAACTTTCACAAAAGTCCAAACAAAGTTAGAAGAAAAGAATGAAAACTTTCGAGTGGACACGAACACAATGAAACAAAAAGAATAAAAAATAAAAAAAATTATATATGAACAAACTTGAGGTCCCTAGAGCCCAACTTTTGGCGAAATTTTGGTAACAATTTTTTAAATTCTCGGGAAAAAAAAGCTGGAAGATTCACGACAAAAAATAAAAAAATAACATACCTAAACTCCAATTTCTGTTGAGATTTCACGGTATTTTGGGAGCGATTTGTTAAATCTCACGAAAAAAATAAAAAATCAAGATTTAGCAGTAAAATATACAGTAGAAGAAATTAAAGGTTTAAAGATTGGGTATACATGTAATTGTCTCAATTGTGCCTGGAGTTGTTGGGTATTTTTGGAACTATCGAAAGAGGGAGATTAAAATTAAGGTTAAAGGCCGAGAGAAATCAATATCGTAGCAATGCAGAGTAAGAGTGAAATTAGGGTTAAATGCAAAAAAATTGTGTTTTAAACGAAAAGAATTAAGAAGAATTTTAAATCGAAAAAAAAATCATTCAAAAAAATATAATAAAACAAAATAAAAGAAAGTTACAAAAATTAAATAAAGAACATATAAATATTATTTAGTCAAAATTGAAAAATTAAGTTTTATTATGAAGAGAAAAGAGTTAAAAAGAATTTTAAAATGAAAAAAAATAATATTTTTATAATGTAAAAAAAATAAAAAAAAATAATATTATATATATCTCCATGCATGGAGACTCAATGCACGGAGACTGTCTCCGTGAACGGAGATTTCAAATTTTTTTTCTTTTTTTTTTTAGTTTTACGTTATAAATAATTTTTTTCATTTTAAAATCATTTTTAATTCTTTTCTTTTCAAATTTTTTACTTACAAATAACTTTTTGTAAAATATTTTCTGTCTTAGATTATCTTTATTTTTTAATTTTTTTTTATATAAAAGTGATTTTTTTCTTATATCCCTACTATATGAGCACAGAATGGTGGGAGGTATGAAAATTGCGTGTTGCAGTATTTTCTTACAGTATAATAAAATATATATCAAGAAAGGCAAACGACGTTGTTTTGCTCCCCCACTTAAAAACAAAAAAAAACAAAAAAGTTACAGTGAGACAAAATGGATTAAGTTACTGTTGCTTTCTACAATAATTTCACATTCTCCTTTTTATATAATAGGGAAATTGAAGATTAAAATTGAGAAATGAGGATCAAAATGCTACCAAATTAAAAGATGGAGCACGTAAATGAAGGTTGGGGATCGAGCGCCACTCCTTTTTTCTCAAAAGTCGTTGAGCTGAAAATGAAATTACCAAAATTTTCAACTCTCGTCCACATATTTCAAAATATCTTAGTTGTGCTTGACCGAATCTATGAAAGGAAAATGTCTTTTGAAAAACACAACTCGAATTATGATAGTCTACTTCAAGTATATGCCCCAATAGTCAGGTTACTAAGTGGAAAAAGCGTGGATTAAAGAGTATAACTATTTTGTCTTTCTCTTGTCGGCTCATAATAAAAAAGAATATATGCAAATAATTTTAGTTGAAAGTTCACACTTGTCGGTGGTTGTTTATTTATTTAAGCAAAAGCAAACAATGGATTGGCTTTGGTTTTATATAAATAATAAAAAA